GACAGACAGACAGACAGACAGACAGACAGACAGACAGACAGAGATGAGGTGGACGGAGAGGTTGGGAGGTAATGGAAGCCATGGATGTTTATATTCTCTTTTTTTCAGGGGGGGGGAGGGGGGATCCACATTGGTCTAATTTTACTGAAATTGTGTAATGACCGTATCTTATAGTAATGCCAAACTGAACATAAGCGAGTGCGTTCTTCTGGCTCGAGGAGTACACTGTATACTCAGTCCGTGATATAGATCTCACTTACTGAAAATAACTAAATTAAACACCTTCTTTTCAAGCATATTGAAGTTAACGTGGAAGGCTCATATTTTTATTCGAAAATGATTGTTAGACATAGATGTGATTATTCAAACATTTTAATTTTTATTCCTTTGAAAAAAAATTGAAATTGTTGCTTTGCGTTACTAATATTAGAACGCCAAAGCTGAGAAAACGAATGCTCCTATGTACAAATTAATAGGGAGCATATTTTTATTGCGTCAAAATACTGCCGATTCGGTTTGTTACGAGGTTTCTCATTTTTAATATTCTTATCCGATCCGATCATGAGCACCCGACTAGTGGAATAAATGTACAGACCACTTAACAAGGAAGCGGAAGCAATAAATGCCTCCAGTCGTTTCCTCGCCATTGTGGATTTACGGTAGGACCTGATGGTGATGCTTGATGATAGGTAAAGATGAAAGTTATGATGGGGCTCGGAATGTCTTATGAACAACCGTTACGAGGGCTTTGAGGGGATAGCGCCAAGCTATTATGCCAGCGGGTATGCAGTGTGCATTCGTCAATGCCTTTGGTGGGGAGTGGATGACTTTTCCCTGTGTGGAAGTCCAGGAGTGGTGCAATATGTGCACTCGTCTTGGAGCCATCTGTGGAGGTCCGGGGTTCGGGTATCACCATTTCCTGGTCTGAAGCTAGTAACGAATGTGTCCAAAGTGCGGAACATGGGGGGTGTAGGGAGGGAGAGGGATTACAATTATTGCTTTCGTTTCTCTTAGCAAAAAAAGGTATCTCAGCGGTGTGTCCGTACTAGAGTAAAAGCAGGTGTTGTCATCCTACTGTTTAAGTGTGCTTCTGTGCATTTGTTAGGGCTTTTTTATGTGTATTTATGAATTTGGTTTTTTTGTTGTTGTTGTTTGAGCTTTTGTTTAGTTATGTTTGTTTTGTTTGCTTGTTTGTTTGGGGGAAGGGTTGTTTGTTCTTTTTGTTTTCTTTTTGTCGGGGGAGGGGGGGGGCTCTTCTAATTGTTTGAAATTATTTTTGCTCATTGGTTGCTTTCTTTGGCTTCCTTTGGCCTTCAGTAGCCTATATTTTTTTGAAATGGAAAAACTCTTCTTTAGGCACAATTCAGTGACTGAAAAATATATGTTCTAAATAACGATAAATTTTGATTGTAGAATGCAGCACAATAAAGCGGTCATAGTGCTGAGTACTCCCATCCAGATCTCTTCAGCCCCTCGCCTGAGAGGATTTTCCAGTTACAAAAGAGGTACAGAAAAAAATTGGTTTTGATGTTGGACATTAACCTTGCACGATGAAGCCACATTCGCCATTATATATTCTACATCTCGTGCAAATGTGCAAGTAAATAGGCCATCATTGAGATATATAATACAAGTCGGGATCATAACGAAAATAATATTTTGGCGGAGACATGCATGGGGGAAAAACAGTATAGGAATCCAGTTGTAACAAAGTGGGGTGGGGTGGGGTCTTGACTGTCCCGACTAATCAAATGAGCGAAGGATCTTTGCTAGATCATCAATATTGCAAGAGCAGCATCAAGCCTTATGCAACGATAGCTTGATTAAAGGGAATTGGTCGACCCCGAGATGACCGCTCCACGACTCGCCTTGTCGCCTGACCGCATAATCGCATTGCACAATTAGCTATCCATTTATAAATATTTCACGACGACAGATCCGCAAAATCGTTTTATATCGTGACCCGACGTGGAGTAATCGAATTTGGTCTCCATCAGAAAGCCGTGCCGGCTCGAGCTATGATTGGTTCCCTTCTGGCCAGGTCGGCGCTGCGAGCTATGGCCAGACTCTATTACTCCTGCTATTTGCTGCTGCAAGAGCGTACCGGAATGCCTTATGAGCCAAAAATCGTATATTAAGAGAAATACTGTTCATACCCCCCCCCCCCTCTCTCTCTCTCTCTCTCTCTCTCTCTCTCTCTCTCTCTCTCTCTCTCTCTCTCTCTCTCTCTCTCTCTCTCTCTCTCTCTCTCTCTCTCTTCCTCCCTTCCTCCCCACCCCACCACTCTCTGAGAAACCTTTCTGTACAGTTGGGTTGTTTTTCCCTTATTGGACAGTTGGTTTGTCTCGAAAGAAAAACAAAACCTGATATGCTAAACTTACAAAAATGAAAATATGACTGGTCTAGGAACAAAAACAATTCAATTCAAGATCTCGCAGTACGTGACATACATATTATGGCCCTGTTTCTTCAGGATAAGGTGCACTTGACAAGCAAAGCTAAACAGCGCGTGAAAGATCTTGATTCGATTATAGGGATTTCGTCCTTTTTGTAATCCATCTGTCGTAAGCCTGCTTCCTCCACGGGAAAAGGGCCTCCCGTTGCAACACCTGTCTCTCACCAAGGCCATAAAATATAGTACGTTATATAGATGTTGAGTATCCTAGAGTCCTGAGACATCACAAAATCCGCATTCTTTATCTTGAGTGGGGAAGACCCGTTGCCTATTTCCAGAATTTGTATAATGTCCCCGCAACTAAGTTTATTGTATCCTGAATATCCCTTTTGGTGTTTATAGAAAGAAGAAAAACAAGTGCGTTTTTTTTTCTGGGGAAAATGTGGCAGACTTTACATAAAATAATGATTTTGGACAACTAGATTTACCTCTCGGAAAACATGCAGGTCATTGGGCCACCCGGAAAATAATGTTAATATCGTATGTGGGGAACAATTGGAGGAATTGAAACGTTTTTGCTGACAAAAAAGAAGTGATATGACCACAATGTATGCCTATTGCTCTTTATGTTGATTCAGCAATGAATGATGGGCAAACAGTTGAGTAGAAACGATATCTGAGGCAAGAGAGGCAATAAAAGCAAAATTCAAGGACGAGTATTGCTTCTCCTTTCAGCGTTCAAGTCCTTCAAGGCATCCGTGTAGACTGAAAACGTTATTGAGATAAAGTGCTCCGACCAGAGTAACACAGCTTCCCCATGAATTTCCTTGTTGCACCCCGTGGGAATTGGATTTCTTAAAATCGAATTTGGGCAATGAAATATGCACGCACAATCCGAGGCGAAGACAATAATATTGTGTTTCTTGATGAGATTACGTCCCTGCTTAGTCGCCGGTCCGTGCGTGCGATTTGTGTCATATCGAGGTGACGGAGCATTCTGAGACGGCGGCATTTTCCATCCGTGGGTCGGACATCGGACATTGTCCTTCAACGTCAGTTACTTCGCTGTATTGAGATTTTTCCAGAGCTCCCTGAGTTATATTTGTAGAAAGTATCATAGGTTTTAAGAAATTCCCATACCATTTTTGTTTTCTTTTTTTTGTTTGAAAGATTGTTTCTCATCTTTGCACTTTATGGATACAGACAAAAGTGCACAATCCGTTTCGACAATATCGATCTTCTATCTATCTGTCTATCTGTCTGTCTGTCTGTCTGTCTGTCTATCTGTCTGTCTGTCTGTCTGTCTGTCTGTCTGTCTGTCTGTCTGTCTGTCTGTCTGTCTGTCTGTTTGTCTGTATGTCTATCTATCTATCTATGTATCTATCTATCTATCTCTCTGTCTATCTATCTGTCTGTCTGCCTGCTGTCTGTCTGTCTGTCTGTTTTCTGTCTGCCTGTCTTTCTGTCTGTCTGTCTTACGACCGCCTAACTCGTCTACTTCCGGGCTGATCAGTAACAAAAATCGTTGAACAATGGGCCAATAAAATAATGACGCCGGTCGTAAGGAAGAGACAACTCACTGCGTGCGTAGAGTGAAGGCGGCGCTGGTGATGGAGGAGGGTAAGTTGAGTCCCTTGGTGATTTCCCTCCACAGTTTCTTGTTGATGACCTCCACCAAACCACCCTTGGACACTACCAGGCGGAACAACTCGTACAGGTCCAGGGTCTGCTTGGCCATGATAGGGATGCGGTTGACAGGGGTTCCTAGAAGAACAAGAGAGAAGAAATAAAAAGTGAGAAATTGTATAGGTTCCTTGCAACTGTAAAGCTCTTTAGGAGGCGGTATCTCCGAATTTAACATCCATCTCCTATATAACGGAGCCAAACTGAAAAAAAATTGTGTGAAGTGCCTTTCCAAGAGACAAAACGTCGGACCGAGCGAGCCTCGAAGCCCCAAACCCGCAATCTAACTAGTAAGTGTTCTTTAGATGACAAGGGTAAAAGTGAAATCAGTATAGATAGGCACAAATTATATAGTAAGTTAAGCTAACATGAATAAATATTTTAAACTTGTGTTATCTGAGAAAAACACATTAGCCCACGATTAGCCATGTAATACATAAAAGTTTAATTTTACCTTCATCAGCAGTTGTCAGTGGGCACATACTTTTTTCCCCCTTTAAAAAAAAAAAACAGCCAGAGAGAGCCATAGAAAGTATTAATTATATCTCTCTTTCTCACTGTATTTATCTATGTCTGTCTTGCTCTCACTCCCACCCATCCTGGACACAGCTCCGTCTCTCCCATTCATTCTCTTTCTCGTTCTCTCTCTTTTCTTTCTCTCTCTCTCTCTCTCTCTCTCTCTCTCTCTCTCTCTCTCTCTCTCTCTCTCTCTCGTCTGTACAAGACGTTCAATTTCCATTTAAAATATCTGGAGGCGTCAGAGACTCGTATTATAGACAACGCTAATTAACTTTATCGAGTGTTTGCAATATTGTGCTCGTAATACGGAGCGGCAAACACAATGTAGATCTAATTAGCATCAACTCTCAACAGGAAGCCAACGACTTGTTTATGAACAGTTTGGGGGTTGCAAGTAGCAAAACCAGCATAATCAGATAGCTGAGAATTTCAAAGCTAGAGCAAACGCCAAGGTTCCAAAACTGTCTGAAACTGAGAAATTTGGCGAGGAACTCAGAAGCCTATTGCTTTAATATTGCAGAACTGATTTTCTTTTTTTTTTTAAAGAAATTTATTTAAACTGACTGCTCCTGAAAGGCTTCAAAGTTAAAAGCAACTTCATGGCTTGAATCTGTCCAGAACTAAGCACTTTGGGCGAGTTCAAAAGTTTATAGTTTCCTTTCGGTAAAGCTGAAACTTTTGAAATATATTTGAGCTGATTATGTGGAATATGTTTATATCAACACGCTACAGGAGACACAAACAAAAATATCAGATATTTGTCTATAATTTCAATATAGCAAATTCAAAAAGTGTAAGGGTGTATAAGGCCTAGTATGTTTATGTCAACATGCTATCGGAGACATAAACAACAGGGTATATAGTTTCCACTGGCGCCTCTGTGTGCCACGAATGCCTCATTTGTTTTTACACCCCGAGTGAATTTCGTTCGAAAATGTGAACGTTTTCCTCGGCTATGTTTTTACATTGAATTATTATGATTATATCTTTACGGCGCTCTCATTTTCCGAGGGAGAATCTTCACTCCCTCCTTTCGAAAGACGCACTCAATTGCCTGACCTCTCGACCTTTTTCATTTCCCCGCTCACTGTTGTTTCCCAGTTCCTCGCGCTTTTACATCCTTGCAGAGGCGCTAAGTATATGAGCAGATGCGTTTTATAAAGTTTTTGCTCTGCTGTTTTTATATCCAGCTTTTTCGATTTCACTAAGGATTCACCTCCTTTTGCCCTTGGCTCTTTGAGGTTGTCCCCCTTTCATCCAATATTTTTCTTTCTCTCTTTTCTTCTCCCCTTTTCTACTCTCCCCGTTCGAGTTTGAGTTTCTCTCCTGCTCTCATGGTCGGCTCTAGTTCCCTTTCAACCCAATGCCATAGCTGTGGAGACGGGAAGAATTTGATGCGTCTCTGCTCTCCTCATTCAAGGGAATTAATCACTCTAATTGTTGGCCCCGATTTCACGCTATGTCTCTCGGTCTATCAACAACCAGGGCTGGCCAGGGGCAAGGGAAGCTACTCCACGCCGGAGCTCCAGGCTTTGGGCACGGCGGGAGCAGTGTAGGGGAACGTCTGGTACTATTGCTAGCCCCACTGACAGATCGCTACAATGTTCCCACTTCACAATCCCGCCCGTCCGGCCCTGCCGTTTAATTGTCAGTACTGAAAATGTATGTGGTCGTGCAGATTCAATCAAGGTCCGGTCTGTTTCGGTATAGCTTCCAGACTTTGAACTGGCTTTTCATTTGTCTTTTCTTCTCTTTCCTTCCCTTTACTTTTCCCTTCTCTACTCTGCTTTGTCCTCTGTAGATGAGCGTACCGCGAGCACAAACAAGAGCTTGCTGCTGTTAAATAGACTAGGAAAAGGAGGAACGGGGCATGTTGTAGGGTGGAAATCCCGCGTGGTAGATACGGGAATTAAAACACCAAAAGAGAGCATGCTTTTACAGTGGTGTATTTTCTCTTGTGTGAATGATCCTGTGATTGGTGTAAAGCGCTCAGAGCTGAAACTAGTATGGGATAGAGCGCTATATAAATGCAATCTATTATTATTATTATTATTATTATTATTATTATTATTATTATTATTCCTGGTTCGGATGCTTGGGCTGCCAAAGTTGATGCTGTTGTTGCTCCATTTCTTTCCTCCTCTCAATTGTTTCAGTTAATATCAGAACAGTTACTTTTGTAGTTATTGCCAATGCTATTTTTGAATACTATGCTACTTCTAGTATTGGGATCATCTTAGACGTTTTGACATTGACTGTCTATTGATACAATTGTCTTCTCACATAAGGTCCCAAGCCTAAAACACCAGTTCTTCATGCCGGGAAAATAACAAAGCAAAATATAACAAACTGCTTCCCAGTGTTTCTTTTCCTGGCGGCAGCAGCTGCTGGTATTCACAAATATACTTTTTCCTCTTGATATGTATAAATAGCAGCAGAGATGCACATTTACCTGAGGCGACAACAACTGCAACAACAAGGGAGACAATAAACTAAGCAGCTCGCAACATCACTCAGTCTACGCTTTCGCTCCGTCATGGCTCAGTTCAGCACAGAGTTAACCCTTTAAGCTTGCTTTTGATAAAGCAGAGTTTTAACCCTTTTGTGCTCTGTGTGTGTAAAATATATAAAAGTCTAGAAATTATTATTCTTGCTAAAGATATGACACGTATATAAGGCTCAGGATCTTAATCTGAAGTCAATTAATTGTGCAGGTTCCTTAAAATAGACAACACGTTCTCCCAGATTCTGCGCTTAACGTGGATACGCTTTATAATTCAAGAATGCCTTAATTTCTTAACTAAATTCTTTATGGGGCCTATTGGAGAACTTAAAACATCTTTATGTCTGCCTTTTGATTTCATATAATCTATCAATAATAATAA